AGTCTCCTTTGATGATGATAAATAGTGCAAATATCTTGAAAACCCTATACACTGTAAATCAGGAAAATTACTGATATGCTATTCTTACAAGACTTATTATCTGCATCTCACAGTATACTGCAAGGTAATATGTATCAAATGAATCAATAAAACCATCTTGGTTTTAACATATTTCAAATTCTCCAAAAGCATTAGGAATGTATCAAATTCACTGATGGACAACATGTGCTTTTTATTTCAAATATTTGAACATTTTACAATCTCAACATATTTTCAAGATAGCATTATAATAGATGAGGAGACTGAGATATCTAGATATATATGTTTTTATTTTGAGAAGACGTGTTTCAAAGAAAGCATTAATAAACACAAATATAGTTTCACTGTTTCTTCAGCTGTCTGCATCTAGTGTTTTTATTTCCCATATTGCTTAAAGGGACACTGTAGGCACCCAGAACACTTCAGCTCATTGAAGTGGTCTGGGTACAATGTCCCATGTCACTTAACCCTACAGGGGTAATTATTGCAGTTTTTGAGAAACTGCAATAATTACCTCTCAGGGTTAACTCCACCTCTAGTGGTTGTCTACCAGACAGCCACTAGAGGGACTGTTGGGTGGTTAGGCGACCAAAAGTCATCTACATGACTCTGGACATGCACACGCTGTGCATGAGGACATCCAATGTGAATCAAATCCCCTTAGGAAAAGATTGAAACAATGCTTTCCTATAGGGAATCCTAATGCGAACGTGGCACTTGTCACGCATGTGCATTATGTCTCCCCCCACAGGGGAGGATCCTATAGTGTCAGTAAACGGCTTTGTTTTCCTGGCTTTCTAGTATCCCTTTAACAGTTTGGCAATACCTTCTAGGTGTTTTTTACAGCTTGCAGGAAAGATAATTCACAAGAAAATGTTATATTTATAACTTAGTATTCTACAGTGCTTGATCACAATTTCATAGCACCTGTAATAGTTAGCCTATTAGAATTCATGATGTAAGCCTATGAGCACACTGCAAATATTCGACAATACATATAAAATCAGTTAGTATGCATGAAATACAAGATTTTATAAGTTTATTATGGGTGAAACATAGATCTGATGTTCAAAATTTGTGAACAAAATAGTAGAGGGCTATACTGGGGTATCGGGAATCCAGTGGCACTCTTAATATAGTGATAGCCTAGAAATGTGTCTACCTTATACATACATACATAAGGTCTATACATAGATTTGGAGATTTGTTTCAGTCCGAACTGCAATTCGTCCAAATTCTCAAATTCCGAGAGGAAATGTACTCAAATCATGAACCAAACAAAATGCACCATGTAGCGGAGCGCTAGACCTGACCAGGACTTACCTCCGCTGGATCCATAGTAACTGGAACTCAGGCAGTTCTGGGAGTACAACTGATTTTAATGAGCCAAACTCTGTTTTTAATGCACAGACCCCAGCCAATACAAAGCAAGCCCCTCCCAGGAATCTCTGGGCCTGGGAGATAATTGAGTTAAAACTGGTAAGTTAATTATCTCCCAGGAACAGAGAGCCCAACACAAAACATAAAAACATAAAAGTACCCCAAAACATCATAAAACCATATAATAACCCCACCCCAAACAGCCATGATCTGAGCGCCCAAGTTGTCCAAATAGCGCTCAGATCCATGCATTTCGCACATCAACAGCATTTCAACCAATCAGGTAATCAGGAGAGCCGTGCTGAGTGTGGGAATCCTAATTGCCTCAGATTTTTTAAATTGGTTAACTGCGGATGGTTAGCACATCCCACAAAGTACTAAGGATAAATATTGCCCAAAGTGTATAGAAATATAATTAAACATCTAAATACAAAATAAAACAATTCAAGTAGCCAATCGTACAGGGGAACAAGAAAAATGTTTAAGTCATGAAGACATATAAGATAGACTTGAAACTTTGTATAAAACAAACAGCTGAGCTGAAAACCCGGCAACAATGTATAGCAAAGGAAAGTATCAAATGAACACTATAACCATTCATCATAGATTGCAACATAATAAAGAGAAAAGAAATGTTATAACAAGTCCCAGCAAACAGATTCTTTATGCAGGGAGTCCATGAGAATATCATAATGACGAGACTACTAGCATCCAATCCTCCTACTTAGGTGGATCCTTGGTTTGTTGGTCTTGTCTTGGAGTACGGTTATAGTCTGTAAAAAAAAAAACGAAACCAAGAACAGTTATCAACAGGCTGAATAAGCACCAGATAACCTTATGTTTTAGAAAAACAAACAAACTACTCCCAGAAGGCAAAACCCTTAACTTAGAGGAGGGTGGGACGGGCGCAATTGCTAGGTGGTTATGCTCATCCCTAAGACAAAGAAAGTTTGAAGATCATAGATTCCTGCAAACTCTGATTTGTCCTCCGGGAGGCATAACCACCTAGCAAAGCTAGTGGGTAGAATAGCACACACCTGATGGTGGTCCTAAGAAACTGAAGGTGTTCAACTTCTGATGGCCTCCAGTAAAATCTAAGAAAGGTTTTACTGGACAACCATCTAGCAGCTTTCAAGATAGTAGGGAGAGGAAGGCCCTTTCCTGCTGCTTTAGTAGCCGAGGTTCCCCTAATTGAATGGATTTTAAACACAGAAACATCAATACCAGCCGAAGACATAGCGGAAAGTATCCAGCCTCTAATTGTATTAACCTTTGGACGAAAGGGATTCCTTGATGTAATGAATAATTGACTGATATAATTTCTAAATACGGCAGAAAGTTGAAGGTACGATTGTAACAAACTGACTAAACATAAGCCTGGTTCGGAAGGATCTTGAACCAAATCCAATTCTACCGGACCAGGAGAAAAATGGGATGTTTTTTGTCTGCCTTTTAGTATAATATGGAAACCTCCCGGGGGCCTGGACAACCAAGGATCTGAAATATGGATTTGCGATAACTCGGCTCCTCTAGCTGCCAGGGCCAAGGAAAGCAGAGAAGCCAACTTAATAGCAGTTCATCTTAAATCAATTTTAGCATTACCCAAAGAATTAAGGAAATTTAATAAGATGTCTACATCCCAAGTAGATGTGTAGCGTGGGGTATATGGGTGTCAGACAGATAACCCTTTTAGTAATCTCAAATACAGGGCATCCTGAGTAAGGGTGGGGATCAAGAAGTTTAAAGCAGATCCATAGGTCTTGATTGAACTGACAGATAAACCAGAATGGAACTTAAGGGTAAGAAATTCTAAAGCCAATGGAACGGTATCAGATCCCTGTGTGTTAGACAGAAAAGAAACCTCCCATTCTTTGAATTCCTCGATCATCTTTCTATATCTTACCCTAGTTCTACGTCTTAACGATGAGTTAATAATATCCAAGACCTGATCCGATAAAAGGGGATGCGTTAACAGCCTACCAGGGCTGCGATCCACATCAGCTGCGGGAGCTTGAGCAGAAGATTGCTGGTTCCCTGAAAGCAGTCCACTGTCATGCCCAATGGGATCTTGGTTCCCTTAACTAACTGATGGATCAGGGGATACCAGGGTCTGGAGGTCCATACTGGATAAACGAGAACTAAGCTCTGTACCCTGTCCCTGCGCATCTTCTCCAGCACTTTCATGAGTAAAAATGGAGGGGGAAAGCATAAGGGGCTGGAACATCTGTCCATTGGAAAGACATTGCATCCATTTTCTAAGCTCCCTTTGTCCAGGTCCGGGAGACGAACCTGAGAGTTTGTGCAGATGTTTGGGATGCAAACAGATCTACCTGTCTCTGGCCAAAATTGCTTTCTATCCATTGGAATAGAGCAATCTTTAATTGAATCGTTGCCAGGGACAAACTTTGGCGAGAGAGAGAGTCTGCAAGCTCGTTCGCCTCTCCTGGAACGTATTCTGCAAAAACCTGGACATTGCTTGCTAAAGCCCAAGACCAAAGATCTAGAGCCTCTAAACAAAGACCCCTTGATCTTGTGCCTCCTCTGTGGTTTATATAAGCCACCGCTGTTCTGTTGTCTGATTGTACTTTTATCGACATCAGTGACTGGTTTAGAGGACCTAGGTCCTGGAGAGCTAATTTTATAGCTCTTAACTCCAAGATGTTTATATGGAGGTTACTCTCTTGGTCTGACCAAATTCCTCTTATGGCGTTCTGGGCTGTAAACGTACCCCAACCGTGACTTGAGGCATCTGACGTCAGAGTGACTGCCACAGGTTGCTCTAACAGGGGACGAGGAAGTGGAATTTCTAACTCCAGAATGGACTTCAACTCTTCTCTGACCTTCTTGAGGAGAATGAATTTTGATTCCCAATGGCCACCCTGTCTTAGTCGATTCCCTAAAACCATCTGACTTCTTCTGCAAAGTAAGGGGGAATTGTCGTATGCTTGTGTTAAAGCTATTAATTTCCCGATAATCTTTGCTAGGACTGGGAACCTTAAAAGGGGGAGTTGTAAACACCTTTGAAAAATCTTTAGAACCCATTTGTCTGAGGAAATATCCTTCCAATTTAGTGGCATATGAGGAGGCCCACTTACTTGAATGCATGGGTTTTCTTTTGGAAGCTGAACCGCCTCTGTAATGCGCTCCTCTGCCACCGCCCGGGAGCTTGTGTCTTCCACTGTAGTGGCGGTACTGGCCCCGGTGAGAGGCTTCTCAGGATGCTCCTGTAGCCACATAGGGGTGACCCTCTGTCCAAAATGGTTTTTTGTAGCCAGGGAAGGACTTCTTGAGTTCTAAAAAGGATCTCCTTGCCTTGTAATGGCCTTTAACCTCCTGAATGAACGAGGGACCGACTAGGTAAGAATCCTCCAAATTTGGGAACTCATGCGATTTGGGGGCTAGGTCGGACAGACCTGCTGCATGGAGCCAGCGGGATCTGTGGATGTTTGATATGTAATTAAAGGATTGGCCAATAATTAGTACTGCCCTGCCAGACGCTTTTAAAAGAGCCATCTTAGATGCCAACAGAGATGAAGCAGAAGGTTTCTGAGCATTGCCTTCTTTTTCTGCCTTACCCAGCATCAGTAATAGTGGCCCACAGCATCAGCAATTTTGAACTGTATATTGCGAAAAGTCTGGTCTGTGGGATCAGAGGATACACTGCTCTCTGTGATAGATAACAGAGCAGGATCTACCTCTGGAGCCGTTAAAGCCAGAATGTCCGGGATACCAATGTGGTTCCTGAGGAGAAGGTCATCCTCCTTAACCAAGCGGGATCTGAAGGCTAGTTTAGCGAAATCTCTAACCTCAGACTTGTGCTCCATAGCTCATCTGAAGTGAAATAATTTTGATGGGAGAGTCTTTCCTAGGAGACTTACTCTGGCCATCTGAACATTGCTTAGCTTCCCTCGCTCAGTGGAAGCTGCTGAACGTACCACTTCCTCGGATTCCCAGTCTATTTTTGGAGAGCCGTATCTGGAAATGGAACGGCTTTAGGAGGAAGAGTGAGCTAACGCTCTAGAAGAGGAAGGAGAGGGACTATCTAACCTCCAACGAGATTTGTCCTTTTTCTCTGGAAGGTGTTTCTGGTGCTCAATGAGGGAAACACGCTTTTCCTTTTTTGGGGTCCTATCCCCTTAATTTTACACTTACTCAAACGAGTATGAGGTGCTTAAAACTGGACAAAAGACTGAAGAGGATAGATCCCTGGCAAGGAAAGCTCTCTTATGGAGCTTTCTAACATTGATGGGGCTGCCTTTAAGAGAGGCATCCATTAAAACTGTAATTCCATTTTAAAAATCAAACTATACCACTGGGTCGTAGTAGGACAAAGTCACCACTGTTACAGCAACCAGGTCCACAATTATAGAAATTATGAAGGAATTGCCTATGTGTAGATTTTGATTTTTTTTAGCTGCAGAAAACCATGGGTAATAGTTAAATGTGTACTGTAAGAACCAAAATAACTTTAGCTTTATGAAGCTTATTTCAATGCAGTCTTACCATTTAGGTGTTAAATCACTTGGTTTATGTATCCTTAGCTGCTCCTCTCTAGACTGAGACTCAGCCCCCATGAAAAAATGTTTAATTTTACAGCACAATGTGTTTATTTTATCTTATCTAGTACCTTATTTGAAGTTCTTATCTCTTGCTCTGTTAATTGAACTTTAAACACACACAGGTCTAGCAAGCAATTAACAGAACAGAAAAAAAACTGTGCAATAAGGTAAAAGATGGAAAAAATAATGTGGGCTCTTTTTAAGGAGGTGTGTAGGATGGCTGTGTATGCCTCTGCCAGGGGAGGAGTGGCAAGGGCTGAATATACCAAGTAATTTGATTCCTAAATGGTGTAAATTGAGCAGTGAGACTGCAGGAGCATGATCTATACACCAAAACTGCTTCATTAAGCTAAAGTTGTTTTGTGACTTAGAGGGTCCCTTTAAAAGTGTTGGTTAAGTGAGACAGTAAGTGCATGCAGGGCTTGTAGGAACAATAATAATTGACTGAAAATGGATATGAGGGGTTAAAGGGAGATATATGCATATGCTAAAGGAAGGGGGAAGACATGTGAGACAAAATGAGAATAGGACTTATAGGAATATATTGACTGAGGGTTAGAGTAGGCCAGAAAGAGGAATGGATCTAGATGGTCATGTGGTTAGAACCAGTCTGATTTACAAATGGTGTAAAGGCTCTCTCACTCATGGTGCAAGTGAGCGAAAGATCATTTTAGACCTATTTATAAGGCAATATTTTTCCTGCACTTAATAAGTGTTGCAGAGAATTGACAGAGACAATTATGAAACTCAAGGCTGGATAAGGTGAAATACTGTAAGTAAAGTAGCTGCTGCAGATATTCTAGTTCGACAGGTATGTTGATTGCATTGTTTCATTTTATGGCACTTCTTGTTCTGATTTTTCAGAAGTTCTCTTGGAAAACTTTAATAGTTAATCTACATTTTATTTAAAAGTGATAAACAAAATAGTGGTTCTAATTCTGAACTGAAAGAAAAGATAGATTTATATGTATGCACATATTTCTGCTCTGCTTGTAATGTATTGTGCATGAAGCTGTGAGTACAATGAGTGTATGCAGCTGTATAATTGCATGCAGGGTTAAATATATTAAAGTGGTTTCGGTAAAGTGGGTTTAAGGTTAGAGAAACAGGCACTGGAGGACCTGGGATAGCACTGTCAACCTGTATAATAGTTCCTGCAGTTAAGCTATTAAGGCTGACTAGAACACAGGGGACATTGGCCACGGCTCCAATTATTTATATACCCACTCAGCTCAAAAAGTCACATTATAAGTGCTGAAAACAGGCACCCCTTGGTAGTCAGGTGCCTGTAGTTGTCCATTTTATTAGATATAAGCAGGAAACATCTGCAGGAGACGGAGCAGCAATGCTACAGTCACCTCCAAGTATAGAGGTCAGTACAGGCACTGAGAGTTCATGAATGCAATAAACATACTAGCGACTAATAATCCAAAACTCAAACACAGGGACTGACAGGACAGGTGGGAACAAGTGTATAAAGGGGCAAAGTATGGATCCAAGGAGCGCAGAACTTCAGGCATTAGGTCTGGAAAATAAGTGAGCACTGGATTCCTGGTGCTTTAAGGTTTTAGATGCTGACACAGGCAAATGGCCCATGTGCAGGGCCGGACTGGCCCACCGGGATACCGGGAAATTTCCCGGTGGGCCGCCGGCACCTGGGGCCGGGCAGGCAGCTGGCTCACCTGCGGCCGCAGAGGGAGCTCTTTAGGTGGCCGCAGGGGGAGCTGGCTGTTCTGGCGGCCGCAGGGGGAGCTGGCTGTTCTGTCTCTGCTCCCCCTCCCCAGCGCACTACAGAGAGACCGGGGCCGGAATATGACATCATATTCCGGCCCCGGTCTCATTAAGCAGTGTGCTGGGGAGGGGGAGCAGAGACAGAACAGCCAACCTCCCCCTGCAGCCACCAAAGGAGCTTCCCCACAGGTAGAAATTGTGTGTCAGTGTGAGTGTGTCTCTGTCTGTGTCATGGTGTGTGTGTGTCTCTGTCGTTGTCATGGTGTGTGTGTGTGTGTCTGTCTGTGTCATGGTGTGTGTGTGTGTCTCTGCCTGTGTCATGGTGTGTGTGTCTCTGTCTGTGTCATGGTGTGTCAGTGTTTACATTGAAAAGCCTGCAGGGACAGGCTATAGACAACAGAGCCACTACATTAAGCTGTGTGTGTGTGTGTGTGTGCGCGCCTGCTAGTGAGTGGGCTTGTGTTTTTATGTCAATGACCTTATGTATATCAGTGAGATTGTTTGTCTATGATGCTGTGTATCAATCAGCTTGTGTCAGTGAGATTGTCTGTGTCTGCATGTGAGTATGCTTACTGTATAATTAAAAATTTTACTCTGAAAGGACCAATATTTTATATTGGAAAAAGCAATATATATATATATATATATATATATATATATATATATATATAGAAGGCGGGGCCTGAAGTTGTGGGAGGGGCTTGGTTCCCCTTCTTAAGGAGGACCAGCCCTTTCCTCACTACCGTCTTAGGTCTGGTGAGTTGTGGAGAGAGGCCATCACTTCCGGTCGGTCCTGACTCTTTTCTGCTTTCCTGCATCTCATGGCAGCTTCCAGGGTTCCAACAAGTCCTGTTCTTCCGGCTGTCTGACTTAGAAAACAGGCAAGGGGTTTTCGCAGGGCTTCTTGTGGCGCCACCAGGTCACAAAATCGGAAGTCTTATGGCTGCCGCAAGTTTCGGCACGGCCGTTTCACGTCATCAATGGTCGACAGCACATGCATTGTACCACTTGTTCGGTACATATTTAAAACGAATGCCGGCGTTCGGGTATGGCATATATGCATATGGGAATGAGTGAACAGGGTTTATTCGGTTGGGACAGACTTTGCATATTCGGGCTATCTTATGGCCGTTCGGTTAACGAAACGCTGTTCAATATTAGATTATAACATGGCTATATGTATTAGGGCGACATCTAGTGGCTGGACCTTTATTTCGTTTTTTTTTTTCTCCTCTCTCTCCTGCTTCCCCTTTCTCCTGGTTACACTTTATCACCATATGGTCTGAATTGGGTTAAAATGTCTGACTGACCCCTGGTGGTCATAAGGGTTATGACATGTGGCATAATTACATTTAATATTTTGGCATTGGTCACAGGATAAGAAGACATGTCATAAAATGCTACTGGTGCTAATTGTCCTGATGGTATTGGCAGCAGTAGTTTGTGGCACGTATTTGCTTATTATGATATATGTCTTGAATAAACCCGGTGGTCAACAGGAGGGTTACAAGAAATGTGATACCTTGGCTTACGGGGTCTACTTTCTGTTTCTACTTCAGTTATATCTAAGCACGTACATCATAGCTACCCATTTAGGAGTATTAAATGTTTGGTAATTACGTATAATGCAGATATTTACGGTCGGGCAAGGTTAGCAATTTAGAGATTATGATCCTCCTATGTGTCAGTATCACAGCATCCACAAGGTGCTGCCACCCTATCAACTGTTCACCTGTCATAGGTCAATAATCACGATTAATGATCCTCTGGTGGACTCGCAAGACCTGGGTCCTTATTTATATTTTTCTGTATTACTAGGCATAGGCATCCTTGCTCATTTGGAGTATTTGATTCCAGTCTTCTATTGTTGGAATATTTTCCGATAGGTATCTTGTTTTGCAGGGGGAATGATGGGTACATATTGATATAACCCTGGAAACTCTCTATTACTCTCGTAGGTTACTACAGATCACCTGTATCACCTTATCCTACTACCTGGCAATTTGCTCATAAGGTACGTCATGTTGCTCTCGATAAATTCTCCCACCCTACCTACCCTTTTCGGGTAATAAACTAGATATACTGGCATACAATATAGGAGCTTCTAGGTATGTTTTTCTTGGCCTTCTACGCCTTACGTTAGTGGTCCCGCGAGGCCAACACCCATCCTCATTTCGGAGGTACGGCATTCCCTCGGGCTATGAAAATTAGCTATGAAAATTATTATTATTATTATTCATAGGTAGCCGCCTCGCTTGGTTGCATAGAGAGGGCCTCACTTGTCACCCCCATTCTGTCTTATGCTATTACAAGTCACGGAGAGGCCATCACCCCGCCATAATGCCAATGGCCACGTACCCCACACGAGCCAAATCATAGATAGTGCCTCTCAAAGCCGCTTGGCAACTAGCAGGGCCTCACCTGTCACGTTACTAATTAATACTTTTGCCACTTGGTATTAGTTACATCAG